CCTGAGCCGAAGGCAGATGCTTAACAACTGAGCTACCCAGGCGCCCCATTCCTTAAAATTTTTATTGTGGTAAAATATACGTAGCATAGGGTCGCCTGGGTGGCTCCCCTTGTATACTCCCGTGTAGGTCTCCTGATCCATGAACATGATGCTTTCCATTTATTTAGTATAACAGTGTTTTGTTGTTGTCAGAGTAAAAGTTTTGCATTTCTTTTGTTAAATTTACTTCTAGGCATTTAGTTCTTTTCCCCTTGAGTATTGCCCTTGTATATGTATATACAAGTCTCTTATCAGATATATGACTTGCTAATATGTTCTCCCATTCTATGTGTTGTCTTTTTTTTATGTTCTTTTTCTTTTTTTTTAATTTAAGTAGTTTCTACACCCAATGTAGGGCTTGTAACTCATGACCCCAAAATCAAGAGACACATGCTCTACCAACTGAACCAGCCAGTTCCCCCCCCATACTCTCTTTTTTTCTTTTTAAAGATTTTATTTATTTATTTGACAGAGACACAGCGAGAGAGGGAACACAAGCAGGGGGAGTGGGAGAGGGAGAAGCAGGCTTCCTGCCGAGCAGGAAGCCCGATGCAGGGCTCAATCCCAGGACCCTGTGACCATGACCCAAACAGAAGGCAGAGGCTTAACGACTGAGCCACCCGGGCGCCCCTAGCCCCTTTTTACTTTCTTGGTAATGTCCTTTGAAACACAAAAGTTTTTAATTTTGATGAAGTCCAGTTTTATTTATTTGTTTTCTTTTATTGCCTGTGCTCTTTGTGTATATAGAAGAAACCATTGCCTAGATCGATGTTACAAGAATTTTACACCTATGATTTCTTCTTAGTGTTACAGTTTCAGGTCTTAGATTTAGGTGTTTGACCCATTTTGAGTTGTTTTTAATATATGGAGTCCAAATTAATTCCTTTGCATGTGGATATCCAGTTGTCCCAGTAGCATTTGCTGATGAGACCATTCTTTTCTCAGTGAATTATCTTGATACCCTTGTTGAAATTTAATTGACTATAAATCTGAGGGTTTCTTTCTGGACTCTCAGTTCTATTCTCTTGATCTATATATCTGTCCTTAAGCCAGTACTACCCTGTTGTGATTACTGTTTTGTAATAAGTTTTGAATTTGAGGAATATGTCCTCCAACTTTGTTCTTTTTTTTTTTAATTTTTTGTTAATTGTTCTTTTTTTTAAGATTATTTTGGTCATTCTGGGTTCCTAGAATTTCCATATGATTTTTAGGATCAGTTTGTCAATTTCTGCAAAGAAGCTCGCTTGGGTTTCCATAGGGATTTTGTTTAATTTGTAGATCAGTTTGGAGAGTATTGCCATCTTACCAATATTAGGTCTCCTGTTCCATGAACATGATGCTTTCCATTTATTTAGTTTTTAGTTTCTTTCAACAGTGTTTTGTTGTTGCCAGTAAAAGTTTTGCATTTCTTTTGTTAAATTTACTTCTAGGCATTTAGTTCTTTTTGATGCTTTTGTAAATGGATTTGTTTCCTTAACTTCAAAAAAAAAGTTATTTTTTTATTTTTAAATTTTTTTATTTTTTTTAAAGATTTTATTTATGTGAGAGAGAGAGGCCATGAACAGGGGAAGGGGCAGAGGGAGAGGCAGAAGTGTAGTCCATGCTGAGCAGGGAGCCTGACGTGGGACTTGATCCCAGGACCCCGGGATCATCACCTGAGCCCAAGGCAGACAGATAACCAACTGAGTCAAGCAGGCACCCCGAGTTATTCTTTAAAAAAAAAAAAAGATTTATTTATTTATTTGAGAGAGAGAGTGCATGTGTACACAAGTGTGCAAGCCAAGGGAGGGGCAGAGGAGAGGAAGGAGAGAAGCAGACTCCCCTCGGAGCATGGAACCTGACATGGGGCTCAATCCCAGGACCCCAAGATGATGACCTGAGCCAAAATCAGGAGTTGGATGCTTAGCCGACTGAGCCACCCAGGTGCCCCTAATTATTTTTTTCCCCCTAATTAATTATTCTTAAGGTAAACTCTACCCCCAATGTGGGGCTTGAACTCATGACCCCAAGATCAAGAGTAGCATGCACTACTGACTGAGCAAAGCAGGAGCCCCTTAATTTAATTTTCTGATCATTGCAAATGTTTAGAAATAGTTTTTTTTTTTTTTTAAGATTTTATTTATTTATTTGACAGAGAGACACAGTGAGAGAGGGAACACAAGCAGGGGGAGTGGGAGAGGGAGAAGCAGGCTTCCCACTGAGCAGGGAGCCCGATGTAGGGTTCAATCCCAGGACCCTAGGATCATGACCTTAGCCGAAGGCAGACACTCAACGACTGACCCACCCAGGCACCCCTAGAAAGACACTTAATTTTTTGTATATTGATCTTGTATCCTGCTGAACTTATTTATTCTAATAGATTTTTTAATATACATTATCATGTCATCTGCAAATAGAGGTAGTTTTACTTCTTTTTCTACAATCTGGATGCCTTTTATTTAATTTTCCTGCCTAATTACTCTAATTAGGACCTCCTGGTACAGTATGGAATAGAACTGGCAAGAGTAAAATTTTTGTCTTGTTTCTGATCTTATGGGGAAAGCATTCAGTCTTTACCCATGAAATATGAGGTAGTTGTGGGGTTTTGTAGATGCTTTTTGAGGGAGTTCCTTTCTGTTCCTTGTTGGTAGAGTGTTTTCATATTGAAGAGATGCTGAATTTTTTCAAGTGTTTTTTCTGTAACTATTCAGCTAAGCCAGTTCGGTTCAGATATATTTTTAGGTCTGTGTGTGTGTGTGTGTGTGTGTGTGTGTGTATAACATCTGGAAATAACAAGACACAAGTCTAATTTTATAACTAAAGTTTGAATAGTATAAAATTAATTCTTAAAAAAGGCATATGTATACACCTAAAATTAAAACTATATGTGAAAAGCTAAAATAATGACCATATCCCCTCCTTGGTAGGATGGTTAGGGAAGGCCACAGGGGACATAACCTTTCAGTTACGAAATGAAGGATGAGGAAGAGACCATCAAAGGAGAATGTCCTAGACAAAGGAAATGAGGCTCTGAGGTAGGAAACAATTTAAATTAGGAGTCAGCCAATGTAGAGGAAAGGGAGGGGACGAGGTAGGAGAATCATGGAGGAGCTGCTCACTCACTGGGCCTTATGGCCTCAGGTAGAGTTTAGAAGTCTACACTTGTGTTCTAGTAGGAAGCCATTGATGGTCTTCAGTCAAAGCCATAAAATGTATCTTTAATTCATACTAAAGTATTTGTAGTGAAATCTTATGATGCTGAGGTTTGTTGGGGGAAAAGAGGAAGAATACAGACAAAACAGGATGTGCCATGTGCTGATAATTGTTGAAATTAGGTGATAGCATATAGGGATTTATTACACTGTTCTCTCCTCCATTATGCATGTTTGAAAATTCCCAATAACATTAAAAAACAAGACACAGAAAACAACTGAAAAGAAAAATTATCCACTGTTGTTTTTTTTTTTAAGATTTTATTTATTCATTTGAGAGAGAGCCAGAGAGAGAGAGAGAGAGGGAGAGAGCATGAATGGAGGGAGGGGCAGAGAGAGAAGGGGAGGGAGAATCAGACTCCCCACTGAGCGGGCAGTCCAACAGTGGGGTTCAGTCCCAGGACCCTGATATCATAACCTGACCTAAGTCAGATGCTCAATTTACTGAGCCACCCAGGTGCCCCTCACTGTTTTTTTCTTTGTAGATAATTTTTAGATTTTCTTCAATACTATATACTTCTTTTCAGGTTAACATTTAATGAATTTTCTTAGTAATAGAAAAATATTTTTATAATAGTCAAGTGTTGAAATAAGTCACAGTGTCAGGCTTTAAGATGTGTAAATTAAAGCCGGAAATGTAAAATATTGATCACATACCTACAGAAGCACAAAACTGTGACAATCAGTAAAGAATTACTTGGCTGGTCTGGTAAACTTTAGAGTGCTACACCTTTTCGGGTTTTATCAGTATGGTAATCAATTCCTGCTTGATAGCCTCTGTCATAGGCCAGTGAGTTTCAGTTCTTTCTTGTTTCTTGGGGTAAGACAGTAGAAAATGAATGTTCTCTGTGCTGTGGTAGTCAGTCACAAGGGCTAAAGGGAATATGAAATATATAGGTGCAAGAATAGTGGAGCTCGTGGAATAAATGGTCATTACATTTATACAGTTATGGATGATAGTTTGGGCAATGAGTAAAATTCTTTTTGTGCGTGTGAGTAAAATTCTTTTTGTGCGTGTGAGTAAAATTCACATGTGTTGTACTTGTTGGGCTATTTTGTCTAAAGGTTTTGTTTCTTTTTATTTACTTACTTTTCCTGTTAATAGATGAAATACATGCTCTTTGTGATAAACAAAACAGAATCAAAGCATTATAGAAATACTTATAGAATCCTGCCCATTAGAGAAACCTCACGTTTTTTTCTTTAAAGATTTATTTATTTTAGAGAGAGCAAGAGCCTTCCCCCCTTTTCCCCCACCCCGGGGTGGGGGGGAAGGGGGCTAGTGGCAGAGGGAGAGGAAGAAGCAAACTTTTCCCTGAGCAGGAGCCTGACCCATGAGCTCAATCCCAGGACCCTGAGATCATGACCTGAACTGAAGTCAGATGCTTAACCAACTGAGCCACCCAGGCGCCCCTCCCTGTATCTTGCCAACACTTGACACTCTCAGACTTTTTGGCTTTAGTTTCTAATCTGATATTTGTGGAAACAACCTTTAAATTTGCTTTTCTCAGATCACCACTGTGGTTAAACATATTTTCTTATATTTATTGATGATTTGCTTGCCTTTTCTGTGAATTGCCTGTTCAGTTTTATTTACTCATAACTGGCAACAACCTGTGTCTGTCTGGATAGATCGAAATTATTCTTTACAGTGGCTTTATAGTATTCCCTTATATGATCATCAATGGCTGTAACAGACCATTGGGGGAAAGGACTAGGGAACCTGTACTCAATTATTTTTAGAAATTTTAATTCCAGTACAGTAAATATAAAAATTTAGAATGCTTCACAAATTTGTGTGCCATCCTTGTGCTGAGGCCATGCTAATTTTCTCTGTATGTTTTAATTTTAGTATATGTGCTGCTGAAGCTAACATGGGAATCTGTACTTTAAATTAGACCTAAGAGATGTATCATCCAAAAGCAGCATAGGGACTTTGTTTGCATCCTGGCTATGAACATTTATGAGACAGCCAGGAAAATCTGAATGGTGACTGGATATTCCCTATTATTTCATTAAGGATTGAGAAATGGTGCTATTATAACTTAGTTATTCCTTCAGCATTTTTTACCTAATTTTCTTATAAAAGAGAACCTCTCCCTCATCAATTGTTTGATTACCCTAAGGTATAGTTTGTGCAAGAAAGATAGGATAAGTGCTATATTATTCAGTTCATACTTTTGTAATTTCCAAGAGCTCTTCCTTCTTCTTGCTCTTCCCCTACCCCCACCTCTTTCTAAAAATAGCATACTGTTCCGATTTCATGGATGTAATGACTTTTCTTTGGTCTTTGACTATATTAATTATAGTTTTCATTTGTTCCTGTTTTGTCTGTTTCCTCAGAATGCCATTTTTTTCCTGGTAGTTTTGGTCTCTCTTTTTCAGGTTGGAGCTTCACGTGCCTGATAACCCGTAATTATCCCTTCATGTTTTAAGCATGAGGCACTAAAAAAAAAGGAGGGCCAGAAGCTTTGTGTGCCTGGAAGCAGTTTATTGCCAATTGGGAACCCAGATTTCAGTATCCCATGGTCTTTTTGCTCAGAGGCATTTGAGTTTTGCCAAGGAAAGATAATGTCATGGGGAGTGGAGTGGTAGATAAGCATAGTCGTTATGAGAATCTGGGTGAGGGCCAGAATGGAAAGGGGGCTATCAGTGTTGCTGCTTGGTATATAGATTTTCACCTAATTCATTTCTTTTCATTTAGCACCTATTTGTTAGGGGTATTCCATTGTCTAGAATCTCTCTTATTGAGGGGTGCCTGGGTGGGTGGCTTCAGATGGTTAAGCATCTGCCTTCAGCTCAGGTCATGATCTCAGGGTCCTGGGATTGAGCCCCTAGTTGGGGTTCCTGCTCTGTGGGGTGTCTTCTCCTTCTCCCTCTGCCCTTCCTTTCTGCACTTGTGCTCTCACGCTTGCTCTCTCTCTCAAATGAATTAATTAAATCTTTAAAAAAATAGAATCTCTTACTGAGTTTATTCAGAAAACAAATTTCTTGTCTTCTGTGTGGGTAGACAGGAGGGCCACCTGGCTCCTCTGGAATGGCACTGGGGATGTATTAAGGATGTTACTCACTTTTACTAGTGCATCCAGCTGGGCCACTTGTATGCCCCGCCTTTTTTTTTTTTTTTCCCCCAGTGAGCTCTATGCCCAATACCGGGCTTTAACTCACGACCACCCTCCCACACCCCCGCCCCCACCGAGATCAGGAGCTGCATGCTCTACCTACTGAGACTGAGCCAGCCAGGCACCCCTAGTTGGTTGTCTTAAACAGGATCAAATAAGGTGGTTCACATATTTACATTGGTTAATGTTTCTTAAGTTTCTCTTAATTTCTAACAGCTTTCCATTTTTTCCCCCTTGCAAATGAGTTTTGAAGAAACTGGACCATTTGTATTTGAAAATTTTCCACATTTTGGATTGGAGGGGGAAATCATATCCTTTGGGTATTGTTTAATATGGTTTATTCTCTTGGGGTTCCTGGCTGGCTCAGTTGGAAGAGCATGCGACTTTTGATCTTGGGGTTGTGAGTTTGAGCCCCATGGTGGGTATAGAGATTAGTTAAATAAATAAATTAAAAACTTTAAAAAAATATGATTTCTCATTTCTTAAAGATACTATATTGAAAAACAATTACATTTAATGGAACTAATTATCAAATGGAATTTGATAATAATTACCTAATGTAATGCAATATTTTCCTTCTCCCACTCTGCAGAGTAAATGTGGGGATACTTAGCATTAATAAGTTGTCAGCCTTTTATTTGGTGGTATTATTTTTTAGACAGCTACTGTAGTCAGAGTTACTAATAAAGGGCTTTTCTTTTTTTTGGCTCTTGCATCTTTACTCCCAATTAGGGACAGTCTCTAGGGGCTTTTTTTTTTTTTTTTTAAACTTCGGGTGCTTGCCTTTTCAAAGTATTCATTTGTTTTTCTCCAGAACAGTGGGGCAGAACAGCCCCTATAAGCCATCTGGAGTTGAAACCATTTTGCTTCGTCACAAAGCTTATTCTTTTTAGATCCTGACATAAGTCTGTATTGTTTACTGATTTTTTTTTAACAGTGTCTAGTTGCTCCCAGGAGAGTACTGTCTGAAGTTATGTAAATGTTGTTGGCTGATTAGTAATTGAGAGGGAAAAGGAGCATTTAGTGAAGAGGGGTTTATCTTTTATCATACATGCTAAAAAAGCCCATGCATGGGCTCTTACCCTTACCACCCATCACTTTTTAAAAAAAGATGTGCAAGAGAGAAGACATGAAGACAAAGACACAGAGGGTCGGGGGGGAGATGTGTACTCTACAGCAACATTCCTGAGAGATTTGACAAACTGCTATGCAGAAGGGGAGTAACCAGAATTTTCCAGGGGTTGAATGCTCTTGGAATTTGAAAAACTGCTGCTCTCCTGCCTTGATTTTTGTTGTTGTTGTCATTGTTTCGTTTTTGTTTAAAGATTTTACTTATTTGACAGAGAGAGTACAAGCAGAGGGACCGAGAGGGAGAGGGAGAAGCAGACCCCCTGCTAAGCAGGGAGTCTCATGAGGGGCTCAATCCCAGGACCTGGGAACATGACCTGAGCCAAAGGCAGATGCTTAACCGACTGAGCCACCGAGGCACCCCTCAAGTTTTTGTTTAAATTCTAATTAGTTAATGTATAGTGTAATAATTGGTTTCGGGAGTACTGCCTTGATTTTGATATTGCCCTAACCCCCCCCCCCCGCCAGCATTTGCCAAATGTAGTGGAGGGTGACCAACTTGATAAAGTTTGCCACTAAAAAGAAGTTAAGGCACATTTATTTTTTTTTAATTTTTTAAATTTATTTATTAGAGAGAGAGAGAATGAGAGATAGCACGAGAGGGAAGAGGGTCAGAGGGAGAAGCAGACTCCCTGCTGAGCAGGGAGCATGATGTGGGACTCGATCCCGGGGCTCCAAGATCATGACCTGAGCCGAAGGCAGTCGCTTAACCAACTGAGCCACCCAGGCGCCCCAGAAGTTAAGGCACATTTAATCAGTTACGATTGCCCATAGGTTTCTTATGAGCTTCCATATACTTTTTTCCCCCCTCCTTCAAAATGTTTCTGGCTAGGGTAATGCCTCAAGCCTTATTTCCTTTGCATAAAAATAATGCATTATATGCAAATTTTGGTGATAAAAGGAATTTTAGTTGGGTTGGGAACTTTTGTGTTTTTTTTATTTTTTTTAAAGATTTGACAGAAAGAGAGATAGCAAGAGCAGGAACACAAGCAGGGGGAGTGGGAGAGGGAGAAGCAGACTTCCCGTTGAGCAGGCAGCTGGCGGATGCGGGGCTCAGATGCAGGGCTCAATCCCTGTACTCTGGAATCATGATCAAGGCGAAAGGCAGATGCTTAACTAAGCCACCTAGGTGCCCCTTGCTATTATTTTAATATATGCCTCCAAATCTTTTCTTTATTCCTCCAGTTTTTTATGATCATGCTACCTGTAATGTTTTATGTCAAAGCCCTTAAGGAATGTATGAAAAAATAATACTTTTCATACTTTCTCTAAATACTTTAATCCACATTGTTAACCTGCAGTTGGGTTGTGCTAGTTACGCTCCAAATAATGAGAAAATTTATTTAGAAATAAATATCCCGTGTGTGCAGTTGCATACCTCACACGTAGCTCCCCTTGATTAAAAATAAATTCTATTATATTACCCATAGCTACCTCCTTTTTTTTAAAGTTTTTATTTAAATTCCAATTAGTTAATATACAGTGTTATATTAGTTTCAGGTGTACAGTATTAGGGACTCAGCACTTCTATACATCACCCGGTACTCATCACAAGTGTACTCCTTAATCTGCATCACCTATTTCACCCATACCCCTGATGTGATTTGAAGTGGGGTTCGGCCAAGAAAGAATTCTTGAAACATTTTCAGTGGAGAAAGGTGGTTTTATTATAGTATGGGGATAGGACTCGTGGGCAGAAAATGCTGCGCTGGGATTGTGAAGAGCAGTTGATCATATACTTAGGAGTTAGGGGAGGTGAAGACAAAAGGTAGTTTCCAAAAGGATTTTCCTATGTCAAAGAAGACTTACAGGATCCTGGAGGCCTAGCTATTATCAAGCTAAGGTTGTTTTTGCCTCTAGCAAGGCATTAACGTTAAGATTGGGAATTCCTGGAGGAATGTCATAGTTTGCTTGCCTCAAGTATTTGTCAAAGGGCTACAGGTTATAAGAAAACTTATTTTTCTTTTTAAGATTTTATTTATTTGTGTGTGTGTGTGTGTGAGAGAGAGAGAGAGAGAGCGCATGAGTGGGGTGAGGGGCAGAGGGAGAAATGGACTCTCCGCCAAGCAAGGACCCCGACGTGGGGCTCGATCCTGGGGCTCCAGGGTCATGACCTGAGCCAAAGGCAGAGGCTTAACCAACTGAGCCACCAGGTGCCCCAGAAAACTTAATTTTATCTACATTTCTTTTGCCTTTGTTCTCTACATCACCCCCAACCACCTCCCTTCTGGTAACCATCAGTTCGTTCTCTGTAGTTACAAGTCTGTTTCTTGTTTTGCCTCTTTCTTTTCTTTTTCCCTTTGCTCGTTATTCTGTTTCTTAAAATCCACATATGAGTGAAATCATATGGTCTTTGTCTTTCTCTGACTTATTTCACTTAGCATTATATTCTCTAGTTCCATCCATCTTGTTGCAAATGGCAAGAATTCATTCTTTTTTATGGCTAATTTTCCATTATATATATATAAAACATATCTTTATCCATTCATCAATCAATGAACACTTGGGCTATTTCCATAATTTTGCTGTTGTAGATACCTACCCCCTTTCTTTATCCCAGATAAGCAATTATCACCATCCGCACCATTGGTTAAACTAGAAATCTATCTTTTTTCCTGATTTTTTT